AAAAAACAGATCTCAGAGAACAGTGCTGGCTTATGGTGGTTTCCGTGATATTATCAATATGGCCCTAGGCATGAAGGCCTCATTTTCAATGCCTTCTATTAAACACCAGCTCAAACGTCATCATGGGGTCACTGACATTATGTGAATTAGTTACTTCTCTTAGTTACTTTTCTTAGCTGATGTTACTACCTATTTTTGGCTTTGCCCTTTGGCTTGCCTTCTAGTAGGAATATGAATCAGTGTACAGGGCTGACAATCTTAGAGTCTCAGAGGCAAGCTGGAGATGTTCCGAATAAATAATCAAAGCAGCTAATGAGGCTGCATAATGCTGGGGGCTTGCAGGGAGCTTCCGTGCTTTGTGGTCGTGAGTGTCACAGTTGTTTGAGGAAAAGAGGGAAACATGATGTTTGCTACAGCGGAGAGGAAATCTGACTAGAATATTTTAAGATAAGAGAATAACAGCTAATGTGTTGCTTAGATTTTCTTGCCACACGTTTGGGTGTATTTGTTATTTATGATAGAATTGTTGGAGCTGCAGTTGTGTAATGAGGGCAAAATGAGTTTTGTTGAGAGAAGTAATAGCTTTTGGTTGCTGTAACAAAAACTATTGTCTGTACCTAAAAAGTTTTTCTGCATTGCTGCCACTTACGTGTCCATGGCTGGGGACTGAATGTATGGGTTGCAAGCAGCTTTATTTCAACTAGGGGAATTGTTCACCAGAAGTTTATCTCCTACAGGAAATACCACTTGCAAAACCACCTGTTATTAGCTCCACTCCTCAGCTTTTGTGGTCATGATTTGGTATGGCCATCACTGTCCTTCCTTGCATGATAGCATCTGAGCAAGCCCAGAGCTGCTCGTGCTGGTGTTTGTTCCTCCTCATTTTATGTGACTGAGCTACAGCAGTGTTCCCATAAAGGCTCATCTCTAATGGCTTGCTGATGGTCTTTGCTGTTTGAAGAGTTCTTAGAAACCCAGAATGAAAGAGGAAGGTGGAAAAATCTGGTTTGATGGAGGTAACTGGAACAGTTGTCATGTAAAAGCCAATGGGATCTAACAGGGAACAAGCTCACTTCATCAGTTCTCTGTAGGAACTTCTCATCACATTTTGAATATTTTTCAGGCTTTTTTCTCTCCTGCCCATTTTTTAAATGTTGTTTGGAGTTCTCTCATTTGTATAACCATGTATGGATGCTGGCATCTCATGACAAATGTGAGGGCTTAGCAGTATTTTATGAACCCTTCTCCACCAGATGTGCTGAATACCAAGCTGACTGTTTCACTTCGGCCACAAGGGATGCTGTCCTTCCTTACCCACCCATCTGGGGACCTTTTGCATTGTGGTGCCCACTAAATCCACCCTCTGGCTGGCTGTGTGTGATTGGTGGGGATGTAGGATTATAGAATCATTAAGGTTGGAAAGACCACTAAGATCATCAAGTCCAATCATCAGCCAATCCCACCATGCCCAATGAGCCACAACCTTCAGTGCCACATCTCCACATTTCTTGAACACCTCCAGGAATGGTGACATCCAGGATGGCATCCCTACTCCCTTGCAGTCCTGGGCTGGAAGGACCTGATTTGTTTTTGCCTTGCAGCCTGAGGACACGTTGCCTTGAGGAACACCTTTGTGTGTGGCCCAGACAAGCAGAGTAGAGCCACCAACCACTTTAAAATCTTCTGGCATTGTAGGCAATGCTCAATTCATTAAGCCTCAGCCTTTAAAATCATTAGTCAGCAGTGATCATTTTTTTCCAATTATAGGATTTAAGAGATTAGGGCAAGCTATTACTCTGAGGTATTAATACCTGCATTGCTTCTGGAATAGTTCAGGTGAGGAGCCACAGCAGCTGTACCAGAGACCAGAGAGCATGACCCTTTCTTATAGTCTCCAGAGAAGAAATGAAAGAAAAATGTGCCCTTGTGCTAAAAATTCAGCTCATTCCACAATCTCTTCACTTTGTCTCTCAAGGGGTCAATTAAAGCTTCACAGTCTTTCCTGCCACGCTGGCAAAAAAAGATCTTCATCTCCTCTTCCTTTGATTAACTGTGTTTTTATAAACAGACGATGCAGCACAAGCAAGGGAAACTAATATGCTTCCCCCTGAGCCAAGGCCCCTGTAAATGGATCAATTAATTTGAACCAGTGCACCCCTGTACATGAAAAGGTACAGTGCTGGCACACAGCTACAATCTTGCTGGACCTTGGTGCTGTGGCCTCATATATGGAAATCCACTCTTGCACGTAGGGATGTCATACGTGTGCTTTTCCTGCCAAGGCTATTTGACTGCTGCAGATGCCTCCCCCAGTTTAAGAGATTATTTTGGTTCTCAGTTGCACCAAAAAAAAATGTTTGTAGCAGGCATTTAAATTTTTATGAAGTGCTTGCTTTATTGTCTTAATAAATCCTTGTTTGGTTTGCAGAATGCATCCCCATCGAAGTTAAGAGTTTATATGAAAATTAAAACGGCACTATATCTTCTTAATTGGACAAATGTATAGATAAAAGGAAACGAATGTCAGCTGGCAGAGGAATTTAGGTTTGCTGAGAGAGCTCTTCTCATTTCTCTCTCAAGATGTTTGCAGAGGTTAATGCTGGTGCTACCAGCACTCCATGGGAGAGCAGAGTTGCCCCTTTTCAGCAGGTAATACATGGGCAGCTCTCTCTTCTATATTGCGTGGCTCATCCTTGCTGAATTATTTACTTCCAAAAATAAGTCATAATTATTACTGCATAAAAATTAAGCAGATTTTATTTTTCACAGGTGAACAGCCAAGGCTAAGCCCATAAAGCCTTTGCTCTGGCGTTATCTTTGGAGGTACACTAACTTACAGGCTTAATTGGTGAGAAATGATGGGAGAATATTGACCAATGAATTTTTTATTCAGATTGTTTTTGGCTTTTAGGAGCAAGATAATTCTTAGGTCATTAATATTTCTTACATCTCCTAATGACTGCAGCTGTAAATCAAGGGGACTTGTTCCAATGTTCTGTACAAGACAGTGATTTTTTGGAAAGGACAAGAAGCAAATTTCAGCTGAATTATGGAAATAATTTCTTTCTAACTTACAGCTGTCTGCAGGGTGGGCCTCAGGCTGCGTTTCTCCTCTTTGCTACACATGGGCAAGAATTCCTGCTTCTCACCCTGAAATGCAGTAGTAAGGTTTCCTTCAAACCTACTGGTTTTGAAGGAAATTCTTGTAGCTGTCGATGCTTAAGTCCAGACTTTTGTTAGTGGGTTTTGTTTCATGGAATACCTTGGGATAACTGTTGGGATAACTGGGTTAGGACAGCAGAGTGCCTCTGGGACTCCTCATTGTCCTGCCTGTGTTGAGGTGGATGGAGACGCAAAGGAAGCATCAGCCGGGAGATCTTCTGCCATAGTGTTTCAGGAGAAATTCTGTTTTCTCTATGGCATTGCTGGCTGCAGCATCTATCTCTCTTCTTGTTGTGAGCAGTGCACATCAGTAAGTACCTGCTTTGGCTTTGCAAGGAAAATATAGGCGTCATCAAGCTGCTGTGCCGCACAAGTGAGACTTGCAAAGCAGTCACTGCAGTGTTTGGAAAGCAGAGGATGAAAAAAGTAATACTGTGTGTGAATCTCTCTTACAGAAGATGGCTGCTTTCTGTGTACTGTGCAGCTTAAAACACTGCTGCAAATGAGCTCTACTTAAGCAGTTTTTCATTTTGACATCTTGTGCTTCTTATCTTAATACATTAGGAAATTAATTCTACTTTTAAAGGGAACCTGACAGATTGGAGAAGACTTCCACATTCTTCAGACAGAAGCAAGCCCACCAACGCAGGACCCAGGTCGGGGCAGTCTTTCTGTCTATGAGAAATCACTATTGATAAGTTCAAAGCAGCGTTGAGTTGTGATGGTTTGGGTTGTGGATTGGGTAGGAAACAAATGCATTTGCTGCCTGGATTATCTGACCTTCATCTCTCCTGGCAGAGACAGGATAAGACCTGCAGGTGTCCTAGTGAGAGCAGCTTTTGTGAGGGAAAGTGCCTCTCCCAGAATCACAGCAGCAACCATCATTAGTTATGTAGTAAGCGTATCTTCCACATGCAGAAATCAATTCTGAATATTTTATGGCTTTAATTGCACGGCCCTGCACGGGCTGCAGTGAAGGGGTTATTAGGCTGCCGGATGCTCATTTCCTTCTGGGATGAGCTTTTTATTTTATTTTATTTTATTTTATTTTTTTCCTTCATACTTTTCCTGCTTCAGATGGCAAAATATCGGATATAAGAAGGTGAAAGTTTGTGACAGCACTGAACTTGCAGTTGGGCTCAGTGCAAGAGCTGCCAGGGCAAAACGCCTTCTACTCTTTTCCAATAAGATTCAATAGTGGAGCAGGCTTAATGATAAGGCCAGCAGCAGTGTATGGATTTCATATGGTATGAGGAGAGTGTTTATCAGTCATACCTGCTGCCAGATTGCTGCTTCTGCCATCTGATCCAAAAGCGTTTGGAGTCACTGGGTGGTGATGTAACCATCAGGATCCATGGATGGCTGTTGTAGAGCAGGAGGGCCATGCTGAGGCCATTGCTTGTCTCTGGAGGGCTATTGGAGCTCTCACTGACAGGGGCTGGGATGTTTCTGAGTGATTTCTGAGCTCACTTGCACAGTCCATGCAGGCAGGTCCTTGAAAAGTCAGATCTAAGGAAACAACCAAAATACGATGAGCACAAATCAGAGCCTTGATGAAGAATTCAGCTCTTCTTATCTAAGCCATCTGTCTGCCTTTCCCCTGGTATCTCTTATCAGTATTGATCTTTCCAAGTCATTTATTCTGACAGACTGTACAATGACACGATACAGCAGATGCTGACTTCTCCAGCAAGTAATGAGTTCAGATATTTTGCTTTGTACATAGATGCAAAGAGCCATTCCCCTCAGGTTGTATGGCCTTGGCCTGTTGTCACATCTGCTGTCATAAATGAGACAGGACCGAGCTGGTCCAAGATAGTGGGGCTGGTGGTTGAAGGAAGCACATCATCCCTGCTGAGGCTGAATTCCAGGTCCTGGCCAGCCTGGGAGAAGCTATCCAAACACGTATGTTTGTTCTGGAATTCCCAGATGTTAAAATACATCCATACATCTTTGGGCTATCATGGGCTGGGGGCTAGGGGAGACGTCAAAGATATTCTTTGCAAATGACTGAGTGCTTGAGTTGCTCTCATCTCCAAAGTGGATTGTGCTGTTGTGCTGTGTAAAAGATCCCCGTCCTGTCCCAGCAGAGGCTGTGCTGCAGTGGTGACCCCTTTAGTCACAAACTGTGGCTTTGACTGGATCCAAACAAAATGGATATGGCTGGAAAATGGCTCTTCTCGGTTCCATCGTTCACTGATGATAGAAAGTAGCACATCCATTTCACTTACCTTCCTTGGTACTGGATTAATCATCAGATGAAGTCAAGGGCAGCCACTTCACTGAGTTAAGGGAGCTGTCTTAGTTCCTTAGCTATTATTTAGTACAGTGAAAGTGTATTGCATGACAAGGGAAAACAATCTATGTTACACAAAATTTTACTCTCCTAAACTATCTACATTCCTTCTATGGTACTGTTTCCCATGACTGTGGTATCTTAGGAAGCTTATTTTGTTATGCTGATCATTGGTTTTGTTATGGAGATCATTCTCCTCCAAAACTCTTCCAAATACACCTTTCAGCTGTGGTTTTTCACTCCTTTGGTGCAGCAGTAACCTTAGTGCCTGTCAACCTGTGTCTAGCAGATCTGTCTTCTTAAGAACTCTTTGGCTTCCTTTCTAAGGCAGGGCAAGGAAATGACACTTTTGATACAGTCGCTTCCATAGCAGAAGTTTCTCTGAAGTGTGGCGTTCCTCTCCCTTTCTATTAAGCCCAGCTGTCCTCATAGACTCCTGTGAACATTAAGACATTCTGAGTATAAAAGAGCCATTTCTCATCCACCTCTTAAAATCTTCAGCCCTTACTTTTTTTCTAAGTGGTATTTTTTCAGGAGTTCTTGACACTCGTGTGTGAATTTGCTGTGCATTTTGGAGAGTGAGTTGAAAAGCTTTTAGTGAATGAATCTCTAACAGCCCTCAGTCTGAGGTTCTCACCAAATACTGTGTTGGGGGGGAGGGAGATTACTAAGAATTTTAGCATAAATCTGGAAAGTTTTCCAAGAAGAAACCTGAGCCAATCGCTTCCTCCCTTCCTTCATCTTACCTCCGTAGAGCTTTTTTTTAGCGCCCATGGGAGAGCCCAGGTTATTATTTATTGGAAACGGGGAATCAAGGTAAGAAGATGGTCTGGCAGCCCTGCTCATTCCCAGAATTATGTCATTTCTTTTGTGTGTGAAATAAAAGATTGTCTCTCCCTCTCGCTGTTCCTCCCTGTTCATCATTCTCATGTTGTGGAAACAGCCACAGTTGAAATTATCTTCTCATATCTTGATGATTTTCCCACCCCAGTAAACGAGGCGATCTCCATCTATGTTTATCTTTAATCTTATCCCATTGCCTCTGCTTCCTTACGTGATTTCATACAGTGTCCCTTATGCTTCTCTTGGAGAAATTTAGAAAAGCACAGAAAGATCCTTGTGATGAGAAGATGTGCTCCCAGAGGTACATAGCAGGTAGGAAAGAAATAATGATTGCAAGATACGTGTATGCTATTGCTATGGGGGTCAGAGTTAAGGTTAATTAAATGTCTTCATTTCGCATTGTATTTCCCTTAAGGTGTTTGAGAGCCTTCTAAGAGAACCATTAACTTTGAATAGCAAAGGTTTCTAATGAATACTTTTATTGATTGCTCTTGCAACAGGTTTGGTCTTAACTACATGTACTGTTCGTGTATTCTAACTTGAAATTATGTTGAATCTTCCCAATGCAATATTAGTAACTGGTAAATTTTTAATCAGATATGGCGTGTAAATACTCCTTTTTTCTTTCTTTCTTCCTTTCTTTTTTTTTTTTAAAGACAAAACCATCAAAGTGCATATTGTCCATTTTTTCTTTTTCTGTGTTTATATAAACATAATAAGAATAAAATAGTCATAATAAGAATAAAATTACATACAGCTAACAAAGGTGCTCCTACTGAACTAGACAATTAAGCCATCAGAATGTGAATGGTTTAGCTGCAAGGTATGCAGAAATACCTGGTTTGGAATTTCATACATTACACAAGTTTTAATTTTAAACAGAACATTTTTGCATCTAGATAAAATCTCAGAATTGTTAGGTCTCTTGTATATAACCTGCACATTAGTGTGAAAAATGTAAATGGATATTAAGTAGGAGCATTTGTGATTCATTCCTTCTATATGTATGAGCATTTCTTTTCAATGTGTTTCTCAGCTTGCATGAAAACTACCGTTTTGCTGCCATGGAAATGAGAAATAGTGAAAGTTAATGGAATGATGAATCCCCATTGCTTGAAGACTTTCAGTCAGAGCTGGCTGCCTCAGAGAGTTACTGTTTCTGTGCAGGAGGAACCAGAGGAGGTAGTGACCTCTGTCTTTCTTTAAAGACCTGTGTCTTTGTTTAAAGCCCTTTTCTGTCCCTGAAATGATGTCTGTGATATAAACAACTTTGGTTGTTTTTTTTACAGTCGACTTTCCGGATCTCCTTGAAAGTCTCATGGAGGGGCTGAATGTCTTTGGGAATGCTGGACAGGACAGTTGGACAGGAACTGGTTTCTCTAGAGTTCATTTGGCATTGAGTTCACAGATACCTAATTAACAGGAATCTTAGCAGAGAGCTTATGTGCCTTACCACTGCTTGTTACTTGTGTATGGAAAACCTCTCAGGTCTCTTTTGTTATTAGAAAAAGAAATTTCAGCCCTGCTCCTGTTCAGACGATCTATTGGCTCTGTGTTAGAAAATATAATAGCACAGATCTGAGAGCATTAGTTAAAGACGTGAAGAATCACACCCTATGTTGTAAACGTAAATTTTTGTGAATTATATTTTATTTAAGTACGCTTGGGAAATTTACATATAGATTAAATCCTAAATATACAAAATGTCAGCCTGTTTACATCCTAATGCCTTCACATCAGACGGTGTATGGATTGGGTTCAACGCTGGAGCACTCCCCTCATTACCTTGAACTAACACGTTACAACAGTGAGGGTTAAAAGGAAACATTACAGACCACAGACATGCTGGGGAAGTATTTGAATTGCTTGGACTTTGCTATGAACTTGTCAGAATTTTAATGCACGTTGCCTGAAAAGCTAATGAGTCTCCATCTGGAGACATATAACTGATTACGGGCTTAATTATTTCTCTTACCTGAACAGCTCCATTCTTTGTTCACGCTCACTTCTACAAAAGCAGCAGCAGCAGTGTCAACTTGAAGGCTGTTATTGCTCAGATGTGCATTCCATACAGGCACACACCTTGTTTCTTTGTGGCTTTGTCTTCTTTTCCCTCTAATTTTCATTTCTTGGGCATTTGAAATGCTTCCTCCCCCAGGGTGATCTTGTAGTGGTTAGCAGTTCATCAGAGAGGATGTACAGATGCTATTGATATCCGTGTCTTCATGGATGGGGCAGCATAATCTAATAGCTCTCGCACTGAGAGTCACAACAGTGGGATAATATAGAATGATCACTCCAACTGAAGTATAATAGCACTAAAGGAGGAAACGGAAGCTTGCAGAGCAAAAGAAAGCTGAAGATGGACTTGAGTTGTTTGGATATTGATATAGCACAGCAGGAAAGGGTCCACAAAACCTAACCAATGGGGCACAGCTGTCCAGGCAAAGGATTTGGAACATGCCTGTAGACTCACTGCAGTCCCCTTCTTTCTTCTTTCTGTCTTCATCTGGAAGAAATCGGGTTACAAGCTGCCTATATAAAGACTGTGCACATTCAGCGCCTGGGGTTGGGTTCAGTGTGGCTGGGCTATCTGGAGTGCTTTGCTGCAGGGTTTGGAAACCAGAAGCAGTAGAGTAGGTTCCCAAAGATAGCAAAACTAATCAGTGCATTTCAGTTAGCGTGTTTATTCATCCATTGGTGTAAGGGCTTGGTTTTTATGGGCGCTTTTATTTTTCAGTGTACTAACTGTCATACTTTTCCTCACTCTTTTACTTTATTCCCATGAGCTGAAGCCAACCTGTCTGGGGTGACCAGATGACCTCCAGCTCTGTGTTATGGAGGCGTCAGGACATAAACACTGATGAGGCAATGGGTGCAGCCACGTGGTAATGAGGGCATTAAGATTTCAGTTTACTTTGTGGGAATGCAATGATGATGTTTTGACTTGCTGGAGACAGTGATTCTGTGCAAGCAACAACCAATTTCAAAGAGATGAAAAAAAGGTTTTCCTTGCTTGGCTAAAACATCCATCGGAGAAGGTAAGTGCCTATGCCCTGCTCCTGCAGGCAGCCAGAAAAATGTCCCCAGTTCTTCCAGGCAGCTGTGAAATGAGAACTTTCTTCTAACAGATGATACATTCCTCTTATTAGTTACAGCCCAGTGGCCACTGTCAAACACTTATTAATTATTCCTCTATTTTTTCCTTTCTAGCACCTGCAAGAAGATTTTGCCTTCAATAAACAGCACTTTATTGACCAGCAGTTTGCTATTGATTTCTGTACTCAGTAAAAATGTGGTAAGTGGGGACATTAGATTACTCTACAGCTCTCACTTTCAGAAAATCCAAGGGAGGATGGAATGCCGTGATGTTTTGCTAACATACATATGGTAAAGGGAGAGAACTTGTCTGAGTGAGAGACTACCAGAAATGTATCTGCTTCAGTTGCTAATTGGATCTGTCACATGCATGTGCTAACACATGTGCACACACACTTGTGAAGTGCATTTATTCTCATTTGGATGAAAAGTTAACTGTAAGGCTGCATTATGACATTCATCAGGCACAACTTTGGGAACAGCCCCTCTTGCGATCAGACCAGAAACATTATGTTGGGAAGGGATCTGGGGCTTTCAGGTTCAGGGTTGGTAGGGCTTGCACAAATAGCTGTGATATGTGGGAACTGGTGGAATTTCCGTGTTTTTAATACTGAAGTCAGTGATATCAGCTTTGTGCTGACAGCTTTGGGGTTCTTGTAGATGAATATCTCAAAATTAAGCATCCTTCCTATCTAGAAGTGGATACTGCATTTCCCCACACAAAGCTTGCCTTGACCTACACCAAGCATAAAATTACCTTAGCTCTAGAACAGGTGTGTGTGATTGTAAACTTGTTAGTGAGAGTGAAATCTGGTGTGAGAAGGAAGGCAGGTGGGAGTGCTGAGTAACAGTGAGAGCACATATGATGTCAGTCCCTTTTGTGTACTGGGTGAGGTTTCTTTTTCTCTTGTTCTGATAGCTCTGCGTTTAGAAAAGAAAAAAAAAAAAAGCCCTTGCTTTGCTAACTGTATGATTTCTTCACTTTTAGGGCTGTAATATATAGATACAGGATTCCTGATTCTCCTTCCATGCTTGTGGAATTCAGGACAAATTGATTTTGAGCTCCATGGGATTACCTGGTGGTGGTGCTGTGGAAATGAGATGTTTGCCTTTCTGCCTTCTCCAGTCTTCTGTAATTCCATTCCTTTACGTGCTGGCTTTTTTGATGTGGGTTAAGGAACGTGCCATGGTGACCTTGCTCTGCTACTGCTGCATACGTGGCTGTGCTAAGAGTGCAGCTGATAGCATTTGGGGTCTGGGGGAGAACAGGGGTTGAGGACTCCTGCCACAGCTGCTCCTGCATTGCCAGGAGGGGCCAAGGGAAGGGGCTGGGGCTCCCACATCAGCATCACTGACCTGGGGGAATGTTTACATCCTACTGGTGCATCTTCTTCCTTTGGAAGCTGTTGTGAAGAGGGAGAAACAAACTATAGTGTCCAGACGTAAGAAATGCTTGTGCTTAGACTGATGTTTGCATAGAACAGGGGAGGAAAAACGGGGTTTGTGCCTTGGTGACTCCACAAGCTCTGCAGCCCCAGGACACCTTAAATAGCCCTCCTGGAGCTTGAACTGCTTCTCTGCTTTCCCTGGGACCTTGAGTCTGTTGGACCGTTAATATGTCATTTTTTAGGAACACACCAATTCACTTAACGTTCTCCCACACTGTCTCCTTCCCAGCTCTTGCTCGGTCCATTTAGTTGATTGCTGCGTACTCCTGTTAGTGCTCTGTTGGGCTGCTGATATATGTTTAGTAGCTCTCCATAGCAGACTAGTTCTAAAAAAATACAGTGCTAAGAATTTTCAACACAGGGAGCTGAAAGCCAAGGGCTGGGATTGCAGGGGGAGCCCTGCTCTTGCCTCCAGCCAGATGGGGTTGACAAGAGGAAATTTTTGGTCCATGCCTTTGCATTAGTCAAACAGCTATTATTTATTTGTTTATTTGTTTGTTTTGCTTTCCTGATTAACTATACTTTGACAATCATGCTTGGTGATGATCGGAGCAGCTCTGCATATAATGGATGTACTCAGGTAATTAGCTCTTCTGTTTAAAAAGGCCTGGTGGACAAATAAGCTTCCCTTTCTCGTTTTGTTTTCTTTTTCTGAGAGCAGAGAGAAGTGGAATGTTGAGCAGACCGTATCCTGCAAGCCCCTGCATGTGTCATCCATGTCTGCACAGGTGCAGAAGAGCAGGTCTCATTCTCATGCACTACAGCGGTGTGTTGGCTTCCTGAGCTTCCCACCCTGCACTATCCTCACGCTGCCATAGTGCAGTGTAATAGCAAAATCTATTAATGCTTGGTGCTTTCATGGCCCAAACCCGTCAGGCTCCATTTCCCTCCCACATGTAGTGGGCTGTTTTACAGCTTTCTCATGCCTCGGGTGAGCAGAAGCTTCCTCTTGTTTGCAGCTCTGGCAGGAGAGTTATTGCATCCCTCCCTGAGTGAGGGTGCTCAGCCATGGGGTAACCCTGCAGCATGGGTAGGATGAGCTGAGCCCAACTGCAGCACGAACTGCTCTTGGCTTCTACTTGACCCAGGCTCAGCAGAGGCATGAGCACGAGGGTCTGGTCTGCAGACGCTAAATGGGGTCAAACTATACTGCTCCTGCCAAAATGATTGCTCAGTGGGTGGCGGAGTGAAATTGCTCTGGCTCAGATTGAAAAGTGAGCAAAGCCAGTGGAGGTTTTCTTTGAAAGTGCCGACCTGGCAGGGGCTCCGAACTGGTCACATTTCTAAAGGCTGGGTAAAAGGCGCTGCAGAATGATAGTGGTAGTTACTCTCAGGGTTTGCTGCAGCATCTCATCCTTTGTGCGCCTTACCCCTGTGGCACTGCCTATGTGCATTGCTGAGGGAGATGATCAGCTGCAACACCTTCAGCTAATTAATGTAATCAGGTGTTTTCTAAAATATAACCACAGATTTCAGCAGGGTAACCACAGATTTAAAATTTTGTCTGAGGTAGCAGGAAATGTTCAGTGGATATTCTTTGCTTATGATTAAATTTCCATTCTTGAAATCTCCTTAGGAAGAATAATTAGGAAGGATCATTTGTCACGGAGGGTTCATGCATATGATTAATTTACTGCAGTCCAGCAATTACTGTGGAGTGACAGGGACTGTCTGTTTGTGTGTTCCTAGCCCCGAGCACATATATGGGTCTTTAACGTATATTTTACATGGCAGTATGTTTCTGTATCGTGAATTTTCAAAGAAAGTAGTGAAAAAGCCATTGATCTTCATGGAATTGTTCTTATTTTTGCTATTCCTCTGCTGTTATGGTATTGTGGCACTCACACTGTAGCCTGGCAATATATCCTAAACGTGGTAGTGCAGTTAAGTTAACCTTCCCTGGCAGACACTTTTCAGGCTGTATCTTATCAGCAGTGAAGGCTTTGCCCCCAGCTGTCATACAATTCATCCTTGGTTTCATGATCTCGCCTTCTAGAAAAATTCTTGATGGTTTATGGAGTAAAAACTTGTCTTTGATCTGATGAGTTTTGTTCCTGTAAATGCTGCTCTTCTCTGTATTTAGTACTGAAGAATTGTTTCTCCTTTCACTAACTTTATTTCAATTATTCTTCTTTCTTATGTATCAGATTTACTTAAATGCATCACGTCATCTTGTGCAGAGTGATTCTGAGAGAGATTCTGCAGTAAATGAGTAAAGAAATCGCTGGTGCAGGATTGCTGAATTCCAGAGGTATGGGATTTTTTCTTAACCTTGTGTCCAACTCAATTGATTTCAGTGTGGTTCTTCAATTGTAAGACTCATTATTTCTGAGGCTTTCTTTTAGAGGTTGTTTCTTCTGAGAAGTGGAAAGTTCAGTGTATGTGCACAGGCACACACCTATGTAAGCACATGCATCTGAATGCGCACAGACATACGTTTCCTACATGTATAATTTTTCAGGATGATGGAAAAGTGCCAGGATAAGATGGAAATGCCATTCCTTCGGGTACACAGCACTGATTTCTGATTGATACACAGTCTTATACCAAGTCCTTTTCAAACTGATGTTCTTCCAACTCACTTGCCATTGTGAATACTCCATTTACATGAGCAGAGCTCACCAGGACTGTGCTGCATCCAGAGAACATTGCTAGGAGCTCAGCAAACCACCACTGCAAGACAGGTGTTGTCCTTCCATGGTGGGAGCCCCAGAGGAGCTCCCTGGTCAAAGTAGCCTTCTGATCTGCTGGGCTCAGACCCTCAGTTCTCTATAGATTTAGTAATAGTTAAAGCTGAGAGATAGGGAGATTGAGTTATTTTTCTTTTGTCTTTCAGAGTGTTATTTGTATTTATATTGCAGCAATGGCAAGGAGGAGATTGCATGGAAAGAAGCCTTGGCATCTTCCTAGCTGAATTTTTAGCACAGAGGAGCCTCTTAAAGAGGTCATCCTATAATTGTCTGCTTCCCAGTTCCTTTCACCTATTGGATTTCACAACTACTGGATGTGCTAAAAGCCAGGACAGGCTCTCCTGACACCTTTTCAGCTTTTACTGAGCCAGCAAAAAGGGTAATGAAGTGAGCCAACTTTCTTCACTAATTAGAAAGAGCTTGGGAAGCCTCAGTTTGAGTGCACCAGTGCATCCTTGCCCAGGACACTTGTTTACAGGTGCAATGCTGTACCTTTTGGATTGACCTGCCCTAAGAGTGGGTGTAAACCATGCTGCCTTTTTCTTCTGCCTGGTAGTGCACTTACTGAGGTAGTGAAGCAGGAGGAGAAAGAGACCACTAAAGAGTAGATAGGGAAGGTCTTCTCCTGACCATTAGTATCTAACTTCCTGATGATGTCATTTTGCCTGTAGCAGGTGGGACTATCATGTTCAAAGAAATGTCTGAAAAATGTAAGAAAAAGAGACAACAGAGCTTTTTTTGAAATATAATAGAACAGCAAATATGTGTGTATCTTCAAGGATTTGCTAACACTCTCTTGTATGCTCATTTCTTTTGTATTATTCTCTCACCTGTGCTGTTTGGGTGATGACATAAGAGCTTGTCAGAGCAGAGGATCACACAGTTTTTGGGGGACATCATCAGAACCTCGTCCTTCCAGAAGATCCAGTTTGGAAGGCATGGAATAGAATAACATATAGATGTAGACAATAATGGCTGCGTGCCTGCATTTCTGTCTTTGAAGTAAATTAAAAAATGATGGTGTAATATTTATGGGCTTGTAATTTTCTCTTATTGCATTCCTTTTGGTCACTTTGTCACCTACTGTAGGGGAGCAGCTCTCTGCCCTTAATGATGTGCACAGGGAGTGGTGGCGTAGCTGCTTGTGATCAGAAGAGGCATTTGTCTGTGTTATTTCCCATTAAGCTCTTAAAATAGCAAATATTTTGGTCTGCCTGCTATGTCTCTATGTAAAGATATGCGTGTGTATTTGTTTTTAGAGCTGAGTGAATAATTGGAAACAAATAATTTATTTAACATGCTTTCCTTTAGCTGAATCTATAAAGAAATGCAGTATAATTGGGAAAGCAGCTCTGTGCCTTTCACTGCAGAGTCTGTGAGTAGGGCTGATACAAAAATTGCCTGTAAGTCATTTCTGAAGAAAATATCCTTCTTCATCAGAAATCAGGGGAAAGAAAAATTTTCTGTATTTCTTCCTTCCAAGGAAAACATTTATTTATTTATCTATTATGAGAAAAGCAACGGGGGGCAAGGAATGGGAAGCATCTTCTCCAAAACAATTCATTTTCAAGACTTGGGTCAAGGATTTCTTGCACTAAAGAACAACAGTCAGATCTCTGCTGCACAGCCAACAATCTGAGAGCCTTATGTCCAAGTTCTCATGTGCATAGCACGAGGATGTGGCATATAGCTGAGAATAACATTCTCGGCAATAAAACACAACCCAGAGAACCATTTCTCAAAATATTAATTTAATTACAGGGTTGAGGAGGAGTGTGTTTGAACAGAAGTGACCTTATACCATTGGTACCCAATGACACAACAAAGCCTGATATTTTCCACAGTTCTTCTCAGCTCCAGTGGGTCATTTTAAGCTGGGAATTAAAGCTCTCTGTCTCACATCAGCAAACACCTGCTATTATTTGATAGCAGGACCACTCTCCTTTTTCACTGCCAAAAGCTGCTGTGGGAACGATCAGCTCTGTGGTCTTATCAAGGCATTTGTTGTGGAGTTCCACAGTAAAGGGCACAGGACAAAAGTGATTGCTAATTGAGTATCTCTCCTTGCTTTGAGCTTCATCCCTGTTGCCTTCACTTGGTCATGGTCCTTTTCATCCAAGCTGTATCAGTTCATTACAGTGGGGTAAAATACATATTCATATGTTTGGGAAGTAGCTTAGCACCAAGTGTGTTTTTTTGCATCTCACTGAAAGTTAATGGCCATGAACTTCATTGTCTGAAAAATTTATTTGGTGTGTTACAATTATCATAATGTCTCTTGGGGTGCATTTATCATTCATGCTTCTGAAGTGAGTCCTGTGGAAAACAAAGGTTGACATATCTGTTTCCCTGTTCAATTAGCAGTATTATCTGCTCTTAAAATATTAATCTTCCAAGTTCAGTTGCAAAAGAATTTGTGGGAAGAAGACAGCCCAGGGCTACAGGGATGCAGAAATGCAAGATGTCTTTGCAACTGTGCTATAATCCTGAATGAAAACACTTTTAACAATAAGTGTGCTGCAGTTCTTTGATACCTTCTGTCTCGGGATCACAAAGCATCTCAAATGTCTCAAACCAGTGCTTATGTTCTCCTTAATGTTACAAGGCCGCACAGAGCCAAATGATTGACTCCAGATTGTTGGGAGGATCAGAGGAGCTACGGAGAGTAGAATCTGGTTTACTTCATAAAACTTTTCTTGAACTTGCTCTATTTCTTCTTTGAAAACATACCTATTCCCTCAGCTCATCCTGCCCCGTTCTGTATCTGTTCCACATGTAGGGCTTTGTGACCAGCTCTTTATTTTGCTTTTCACAGGGTAAAGGAGGAGCACCTGCAGCGAGGACATGAAACATGGAGTTTGCTGCAGTGAGCTTTGGGATCTCAGGATGTGGTACTTTGAAATTAAATTTCTCTAGTTAGTCTTCCAAATAAGCAGCATGCTACCTATCTTAAAACTGCTATAAACAAGTTTCATCATAGTAGGTTTGCCTGAGTACAATCTGCACACCCCAGATAAGAAGGAGCTACAGTTTACTTGGATATGTGCTTGTCTGGTGGGTGGCAGCTTAGTTCATGTCTTCTGAATTCCCATATTCACTTTTGCTGGAACTTGTATCTCTACACTGAGACCCACAGGTGGTGATCTGTGCATCTGAAGGCAGATCTGGATGTAAGTGCTGAAGTTTGAGTGGAACTCTGGTTTTGAATGGAATTGTTTGGTTTTCTTTGGTGGAATTATGGCTAAATCTAGGCTCTGGAGGTGCTGAGTACAATGTGTAGTACTAACCCAGATGGTCCCTTTGTCTCCTTATGCTCCTTTATGCTTTATTTGTTGTTTTACCAAATAAAAGTGCTGCAGGCAAGAAACTTATTTTGATTTCTTGTTTGCAGAGGATCCAATAAGAGCCTGTCTTATGAATGAGTCCTCAAGGCACTGCCAAAGTAACATAAGTGATAAATAGTAATAATTATGATAATAACAGAGATGGCATCTATTAGTAGAGACACTAATAGAGTTCTAATAAGAATCACAACTGAGTGATGCTTCTTAATCAGAATTAATGATGTGTGTTGGAATACTTTAAGGCAGGATGACGTTGATGACGTTGATTCGGCAGCTGGGTAACCATCAGCATTCCCCGACCTTTCTCCAAATAAGTTCAGGCCAAATGTAATTAGCTAGAATGCAGATAAGGAAATTTTATTAAGCTGTCTTTCCCTTCAGAGGTACAACTTTTTTGCAGTAGAATTATTTATCACTGAATTATTGGAGTGAACACATGAATATGCTGTTAACCCTTGTTGCCATTGGAAGATGTGAATGTCTGCCACATTTCTGAATTTGTGTGCATGTGTCAAGCACAAAATGCTTTGACATCATACTCTCATCCTCCTCTGAAAACACTGAAACAAGTTGTCCTTCAGGCAGTGCTAGCAGAAGCCATGTACTAAGCAAGCTGGGTCTTCTAAGTCAAAGCAATCACCTCTAATTAGTAAACAATAGTAGCATCACATATAAAATGCCACCTTACCACAAGCTGACCTCCAGCTTATTGTTTAGTACAAGGCTAGCAAGGTAAAAGAAGCCTTTACCTTGTTCTGAAATCTTCAGCATTTAGTAAAATTGTACATTCAACCTCCCTTTATAGGGGAATGGCCAACTAGCTGCTCTCTCCTCGTGTCAAGGAGAACATAGATCTGTCTTTGCCTATGCTGTTAAACTGCTCCTGTGCGGTATCTTCTCGCTTTGCTCATGTGCAGATGAGCCACCCATGTATACAAGGATTTACTGCCTCCAGAACCTGGAGACCCTCTCAATTGCAAGCACTAGCAGCTGCTGGATGTGGGCCATGTCCTGGGAGATGCTCACTGGAATACACAGAGCTGAAGTGGTTGAAGAAGTTTGTGGCTGAAAAGCAGCCACTGCTGAAGCAGTGAGCTTCTGCTGTATCACCACAAACTTCTTAGAGGCAGAGGGTGTCAGTGGAGTGAGAGCAACCAACGGCAACAATGAGGTGTTTTCCTAGTGGACAGATATTTGCCATTCATCTTTAGATGTTCAGGAGCCACATATGTGTCTTGAAAATAGAGAGGACCATCTCCCGGTAGTATAAAAATGACATTTTTATGTGATTTGTTTTGAATTTTGCTGTGCTTTGTGTTTCCCTGGGGGACAGAAAGCCCAGTAGAAATTCACTCTATTAGCTCATCAACATCGTGTACCTCCATTAGACAGTAGTATCACCAGGAATGGAAGGTGAAAGAGAAGTGAATGCTGTTGAATGATTCGCCCCCTGCTCACTGGGGGTCTGTCCTTTGGTCCTGAATGCAGAGCTCACAGATGAAGCAACAATTGCACCTCCTCTCTTTTTCCACTTGTGATATCTATGTAGTGGCATTTGGTTTCAGGTATGACTTCCAGTTCAGCATGTAAACTATGTCCTCAATGGATTGTAATGCTCCTGCTGTGTCTTTACTAATGAGCAATCATAAGTTTCTTGATGTAAATCTCCTTGCATTTCTCCTTAATGGTGCTGAGTTTGTTATGATCATTGTTCTTCTGACACCCCATTTATTACGGTACCATTTATTTAGCAAGGGCTTTAAAAAAAAATAATTATTGTACTCTGTTCTTGTTCCAGATGGCTTCTATAATTAGTTTATTACTTTTGCAGATGTAGTATGAAAACTGCAGGATGTGAGCCAACAATGGGGAGATGAAGCTAATGAAAGTGAGTTTTTAGTTGATTATTCACTGTGTGGAGATAGATAAATATATTGTGTATGTCAACTAAGCACAATCCAGAATGCAAAGTGTGTATCTGGAGCATTTGTTACCAAACAGTGTGTGTTGAGCATGACAACACTCTTGCGTTTACGAGAAGCTGAGACATTTGGGCGGGCTCTCCTCATCTCTCCCATGTGGCTGTGTTGCACAACCACTGAAGCAGCGTAGAACAGTTTGCTGGGGCATAAGGGAAGGAGAGGGATGAAGTGTGGTACATTTAAAGCCTGAATGTCATGGCTAAGATCTGCAGAGGGGCTAGCTAAGGTTTGGAGATAATGGCTGAGTTGTGCAAAGGGATTAGCTGAGGTTTCCAGCCCAAGGCTGAATTCTGCGTAGGGACCTGCTCTGTGCTTGTGTCAAAGCCTCAGGCTAAAGTAGCATGTACCCCTGATTGTACTGGCGATGGGCAGGGATGTGTGCTTTTCCAAGGTTGTCGAGATCAAGAACAGGACTGCAGAGTCCTATTTCCAATCCCTAAACTGCTAAGTGAGGTTTTTCAACCTCACCCGGATCCTTTCTCTCCAGCCCCTGAATGGAGGATGTCCCTGTTTGGTTTTCATGTCTGTTACGCTTCATTGTTTTTACAGCAGCTGCATCACAGCAACAGACCTCCTGCCCTTCATTCATTTGATGATGAGGTGGTCATATATTTACTAATTTTCTGGAATGGCAGTTATTTCGTCAAGTACAATTATTAATTTCCCTCTTGAATTTAGATTGCAATTTAAAACAAAATAAAGGCAAAAAAGACTCAAGAGAACCCCTTCTGCATTAGAAAACAGCATTTCTTTCTGAAGAACACCAGTACCCATTTATAAGCCCTCTTGGATAGGTTTCAATGTTAATATCCTCGGCTGAAAATGCTTGGTGATTAATAGCATTGACTGGCTAGTTAAATACACGATCAACCTGGGAGTAGTCATGCCTCTCAAGTAACAACAGTAATTGACAGAACGTTCAGCAAATAAAACTAGCTTAACGCTGTACTAATGTATAATTAAAACACCTGTAACTCTTTCCCCCACTGGGGATACAACGGTGTCACAGCGATGCCAATTGTTTTGGTGTAAAAAAACAGGTGACCGGATTAAAAGGGACTGTCTGTCTTCTTGAAGCCTCCCTCCCCCTCTGCCCCATAAATAGCTGTGGTGGTAATTTTGTGGTTTATTTAGAGATGCCAGAGAACACAAGGCAATTTGAGCGTGCGGCTGCACCCACACATTGTGCCTGCAAACAGGAGGCGATGCATATTTAAAGAGCTGCTCCCTGGAGTCTTTCCTTTCTGCCTGAAACCTATCCCGCCTACGGCTCGGGGACATGAATTATTTACTGCCAAACAAAAAGCGAGGGTGTTTAGCAGTGACACCCAGGCTGTGTAAGTGGAAGTGAGAAAATCCAGCCTCTCATGGGCAGCTTCTTCCCTCCTGCTGGGCTGTTCTCTGCTGGGCATCGTGGAGGGTCCTGTGCCACCTCAGCACAGTGCAGTGCTGCCTTCCTGCTGTTCATATGCAAGATGCCGCCTTCATATTCTTCAAACTTGTCACCCTGCCTTTAATTCCCCTGCTCTGTCCCCTCTTCAGGCGCAGCCTAGGAGGGATTTACTGGCAATGCACATTAAAATGGAGAGCACGTCTTGAGTTTCAAATGCTCTGCAGCGCCAGGTCCAGATCTTTTGCCATCCCTGAGTCAAAGGGAGGGGGGAAAAGATTGACCCTCTATCTGTGTGTTACTCTGAGCTGCTAGACACAGCTAGAAAACAAAGCAGTGTGATGATCTCCTTTCCCATTCTGCTGGCAGCACATTCTCAGTTATAACAGAATTACGATGTGCCGTTCCCTTGGTTTTGCTGGCACTGCAGCAGGTATTAATCAATATGTGCTATCCATCGAACTATTTGTTTTATCCAGGTATGTTATTAACCTCCTTTCCATCAAACTAGCAAGGGCCAGAACTGTTTGGAAGAATGCATGTGTTCGCTGCTTTCACAGAGGGTATAATAAAAAAATTAAAAATCCAAAAATCATTGGGTCAAGTTCACACCATTGTAAATCTTCTGCAGGTGGTGGGAAGGCCAGAGGAGGGCTGGAGGGATCCTCTCGGGGAAAATACGTGGGCTCTGTTTTGGAGGTCTGTTAGAACATGAGAAAATAGATATCAAAATAATTTCTTTTATTAATTAAGATAGCTTATAAGTCAACAACACAACTGGAATGAAAGCAGTGATGACACAGAACTATCAGTAGTAATGATTTGTGGTACAGAAATAGGCAGAGGGGCAAGAAGGGGACATGTTATATATATATATATAAATGCTATGAAGAAATATAGAATCATAGAGGTTGGAAAAGACTTCTAAGATCATCTTGTCCAATCTGCATATATAGTAAGGCATGTGTCCTCTCCTAAAGACCTTCCAGTGTTTGGATAGAAACACATAGACTTTTTCTCTCATTTTTTCAAGAGTGTTATGATTAGGGCCAAGTGACTCACTGGGGGTTAGATAGAGAGTCAGTAGGGTGTCTATGGTTGAGATCCAAGTGTTGGGAATTGTCTGCTTTTTTAGAATATGATTGGACACCTCTTTCTTTGGAAGGAAAACAGGCTCCAACAGAAATAAGTTAGCATCTCCTTAAATGGAGACTACTGGGAGGACACGGGGGAGTATAATGAGTATAAAGTGCTGGAATTATGGAAGTTGAGAAATTTGATTGATGTTATGCAGTGATCAATTTATTAAGTTTCTAGGTTACTGTTAACTTATTAAATTATACAACAAGTGAAAAAGATTTTATTTTTACCTGTATTCAAAATTTTATTTGATTAAATCACAGTTCCTCATTTAATGCAATTCTTATCTAAAAACAACTCCCTTCCTCTCTTTTTATTATCATCATTCTCTGGCTGCTGCTTGGATGCTTTGTGCAGCACTGTTACAGAGCTGACATCTGTTGTGATGCATCTATTCTTACACATGGGCCTATCTCTAGTACCAGGCTGTGCCTTTTTTTTTTTTCATGCGATTGTTCATGTTGATGTTTTCCACTGCTTTTTACTTTTTAAGTTAGCAAAAGGGAAGAAAAGGCATCACAAAACTTTGCTGTCAGCTTGTAAAGAACTACAACGTTATGAGTGGGAAAGTGGGAAGAGGCGCAAAGGGCCTATTGCCACAGATGCATGGCAGGAAAGACGTTCCACCTGCTGCCATCATCCAGGTGAAGAATCATTCTAGAGCAGTCTGCTTTAGGCATCTATGGAAATGTTGCAAGCTTTGGAACAAATTAAAAGCATGTTCAGAGGTGAAAATAGCAGGGGTCATCATTGTCATTGACCTTCAGGTCTGACAAGCTTTGGAAGTTTAATCTGAAAATTCTCCTGTTGGCTCAGTGTAACTTCACTGATGAAATCTGGTGTATGATGTTAAAGAATAAGGAATATTACTCTAGGTTCAGTGTACAGCCTTGCAAAACATCTGGTTTGCTAGGATTTTCTGTATGGTACACTGCCTCTTTTGAACAGATGTTTTCTGCA